ACAACAACTTAAAGGTAATCAAAATATTCATATTTTATTATATATATATATATGTTGGATTGATAAAATTCACATTTAATATAAAGTTATTGAGTGGTGTAATACTAAGTAAAAGTTACACCGGTGTAATTATAACCCTTTATATATATATATATATATATGAGGGGGTTTATAATTACACCGGTGTAACTTTTACTAAATATTATACCGCTCAATAACTTTATATAAAATGTGATTTTGTAAATTCAACCGTTAGATTGAAAACTCTTATCACTTTATACGTGTATATCAAATTTTGTTAAAATTGAACAACAACTTGAAGGTAATCAAAGTGTTCATATTTTAGTATATTTTGAAATGAATATATTACGTCAATTTTGTTTTATAAAAATGAAGTATCAAATCACCTTGGATTAATATAAAATTTTGTTTATATGATCTAATTAAGAGTAAAGAACTTTCAATCTAACAGTTGGATTGATAAAATTCACATTTAATATAAAGTTATTGAGTGGTGTAATACTAAGTAAAAGTTACACCGGTGTAATTATAACCCTTTATATATATATATATATATATGAGGAGGGTTCAAACAACATAGGTCTAACTTTTACTAAGTATTACACTCCTCAATAACTTTATATTAATCCAAGATGATTTGATATTTCATATTCTTATAAAACAAAATTGATGTAATACATACATTTCAAAATGTAATAAAACAATGATAAATTGATTTCCACCATAAGTAAAATTGATTTTATATATATAGTGAGAGAGAGTGTTTAAGATTAAATTTTATAAAAATAAATATTAGTTAATTTTTAAATATTTAATAGTTTTAAAAATTAATATTAAATGATATTTAATAATTTAAAAATATTTTAAATATTTAGTAACTAAAAAATTATTGATATCTTTTATATAGGTGAAATAAGAAGAAAAAAATATGAAGAATTTTAAATTCTTGCTATTTTGTGAAAATTTAAAATTTTATTATTTTAAATTTTTTTACAAATATTTAAATTTCAAATTGTTTGCAAATTCTTCATTTAAACAGAGCATTTTATCTTAAGATATTTAAAATTATTCAAAACAATAAATTATTCCATTGAAACACACTATAATATAATTTGTGCATTTTTCATAAAGAATTTTCATCTTCATGAGATCTAAATAAATCATATATGAAAAACTTGAATGAGAAATGATTACCCTTAATCACAATTAACTCAATAAACAGGTATTAACCGTCTAATAATAATGATTAAATAACTAATTATATAAAAGTAAGGATCTCTCATTAAACATCAAGTGAATAGTCCAACTTTTCATGTATTATTTAGAACAATAGCCCAACACAATATCATCAAATAATTAGATGTTCTAAATAGTCATGGCATATTAACATTAAAAATTAAAGAATATTTATTAATAATTAATTTAATATTAATCCACAAAATTATATTAATTAAATAATTAATCCAACATTTAATACTTAAATTACTCTTTTCACATCATATAATAAGAGTAGTACTAGGAGAAAAATTAAGTTCACAGATAAGTGTCATTCTAGATTTTCAAACTAAGAATTCAAAAATTAGAATTGACTTATCAAAATAAAATATTTAGAGAATGATAAAAATTGAAATCAAAATAATTTAAATTTTAATAATTTTAAATTCTTTAAATTTCTAAAACTTTTCATCAAAGTCATTTTGGTTTACAGATAAAAGGTGATTAGGGTAGAAAATAATTGTATGTGATATGTGAAGTCCTTTACAAGTCCTTTTTTGGTGTACAATTGATAGATAAAATCATTGCAATGTAATTACCTTCCTTGTGATAATTAATTATTTTTTAGTGGGAGAATTAGGATCTTAACTTGAATTATCCTCCAATTTTTACTAAAGGCGTTTTGTCCTGTCTCGGTAGCTTTTTCTTAAACGTATTAGATCATGATACTTATTTGTGATCAAATAAGACCTAATGAATCTCATTAAAGTTGGGTTAGGCAAAGACCATAACACAAACAATCCTTAATTAGTGTTTATACAAGTCATTGAATAGGATCATCATCATTCCCATTATCAACCGTAACTATTCCTAAATGAAAAAAGTGTGATAAATATTCCCACATACAGAAAGAACACACCTAATTATTTAACAATTCACCTTCTTAACTATTTTAACTTGTTCACCTTAATTTCGGATTAAGATAGAATATAAGAACTCAATCGTATATGTTCACGTACGTTGGTTTAAAATCATACACCATGAATTCCCTTTTTTTTTTTTTTTTGGTGCAACCATGCTTTAAAACCTGTTTATTACGGATAAGCACTAATGAATTTTCTTATGGGCCTATATATGAACCTAAACCCATTAAAGTTAGTATAAATAAGTATGATTAGTAACAAATAAAGATACATTTTTATAATTACTAGTTTGATTAGCATTGATATCTCCGAGACCGAAAACTAACTTAAATATTGGAGTGTACCCTTCTCTTTCCCACCCTAGGATACATCATGGAAGATGAAGACCAAGCAGGAATAGCAAAATTACCGGAATACCCTCGTGCAGGTACAACCCATATTAATTAAAAACATTATTTTATTTGGGCATTGCATTACTTATTATTACACATTTTATGGAAGCACGTCAATTTCACATTATAAAGCAAAGACAACAGAAATACGAGGTAGAGTTACACAACAGATAATGATGAAAAGTATATCGATGTGAACAACCTATGCATAAACCTCGTGTGTGAGTAGCAACGGCAACGTGAATGAGTGAGTAACCGTGAATGTCGAATACGCTTCGTCGTTTGTTAACTTGAAGTGGGGTTGCGAATTTGTCGTTTAGGGCGAAGGTGTGAGGCAAACGGCAGCGTTTAGTTAGATGAAACCGCAAACGCAATTGCGTGGTGGCTTCAAAAATCACGAGGGAAGCGTGTGTCGTGTTTGGGTTCATATCTGCATATCTTATCCCCTCTTACTATGACGTAAAATGCGCCTTGTCAGAATCTCACTCACATTCCATTTTCCTAACTCGGTTTCATTGCCCTTCTCAACCTTGCTTCTTCACTTAAATAACCCAATTGCCATTATGCTTGGGCCTCACTCTTCTTTTAATCTTGAATAATTTTTAAATTTTTTAAAAAATTTATAAATTTAATTTATGTATTAAGAATTTTAAATTTAACAATTGAATTATTGAAATTTGATATAAAACATGAGTTATTAAAAAGAGAAAGTCAAGATAAACTTACTCTTAAAGTAAACGAATTCTTTATTTTTTTAAATTATTATTATTTATAAAATGATAATGTATCTTAACTGTTTTGAGGTTTTTAATTAAGGATAGAAAAAATTGGAGGTAAAATGAGAAAGATCAAAGATAAGTGGAATAATTTCATGATATTGATACATGCTTTATGGGTGATTAATGTGAGATAAATGGAGATAATATAATTTAATCTTTGATTTCATGTTTTGTTTTTTTGGACATAGTGATCATTTTCGATAAAAGTTTTTAACATGGTTGTAAACATAATAATCGATTTTTGTAAATTTTAGCATGAGAGCATGGTAACGTAAATAATACAGTGTGAGGATCGTTTTTATATAAAATCCTAAGAATCGGTTTTTTATATTTTTTTTATTATTCTTACTTAAATAAATAAATAAATAAATGTGGTGTCCATAATGTGAATTAAGAACTCAAGCCAGGTTGTTCTTCCATTGAAATAAAAGTAAAACAAGTTTTTTAAATCTTAATTGCATTGAAGGATCCACCAAAAATGAATTAAGAATTTGAAATGAGTTTTATTATTGAAGATGCTTTAAAAGAGTCAGAAATTAATGATTTGGACATGTTTTCATTTTAATAATCTATAAGTTTAATTATAATTTTAATTATTTATTAATAAGTTGATAGTATATGTGAAATTAAAATTGATTTTCTCTTAAAAATAATTTGGATTCAAATTATGTAAATGGAAAAAAAAATGATTGAGATAAGAAGTTTAATGCAAAGTCAATAAATATTTCTCACAAATAACATGAATAAAAAAATATTTTAAATTAATTTAGTATGGAATAAATAATTTTAGTTCCCCGTCATTTTTAATTTTAAGATTAAACAAATTTGTTTCCTTCATTAATTTATTTTTAATTAACGCACTTAAATTTATTACCTTGAAAAACTCATAAATTCACATTTTCTACTCCAAATTTTCACAATTTGAATGATTTTAGATTTTCTTTTACATAAAATTCATCAAGCAAAGTATATAATTTCACCTCAAGTGAAAACAACCTCAAAATATTTTTTCTCTTCCAATCACAATTTTTCATCCCATAAAATCTTTCAATTACAAATTCTAATTAAATATATAAAGAGAAAATACTAAAGAAACTAAAATTACTTTCCTTTTTTTAATCAGACACGATTTAAATTTAAAAAAAAATTAAAGCAAAGTACAATCCAGCAAATAACAACTTATACTACCTGTATGGTTATAATTGATCTTAATATACATAATTTCAAACCACTACTTTTTATCTAACTACTATACCACAAATATCATGCACTAGAGGCAGTTTTCTTTAGTGTATGAAATTACGAGACAAAGTTCTCTTTCTGAATATTCAACACAATTACACATTTAATATTCAAACTCGATATCTTAATTAACTTAGAACAATCACTTACTAATTGATTCATGAATTGATTCACGCACAAACCATTGTTATTTCTCAAAATGTGGGGGGAAAGCGGGTAATAAATAAACAAGAACTAAAGTTGAACTAATTGTGCGAAAAAGCAGGCGACAAACGTGGGAAAAGCCATCCACTTCCCCACAAAAAATTAGTCCAAAGTTTGTAATTTAGTGATAAAGTAGGGGTGTTTGATTATTCTTAGAACAAGGCCTTGAAAGAAGTCCACGTACATCTCTTGTGATGTGCTTATATACCCCCTTCATTAGCACTTGCCATGGAGAAGAGAAGAGAAGAGAAGAGAAGAGAAGAGAAGAGAAGAGAAGAGAAGAGAAGAGAAGAGAAGAGTGACACTAATTTTAAACGCATATTGCACTTGCATAAAAAGAGGAAGATAGATAGTGCAAGTAACATATATTACCTAGTTAAGTTATATCTAATTCTCTTGAGCTTTGAAAGATATGGAATGGAGGAAGTGCTACTTGGATGTCATATTGGTGCCCTTGGGATTTCTAACTAGCATTGGCTACCATTTCTGGCTATGGCATAGGGTTCGAACTCAGCCACACACAACCATCATTGGCATCAATGCTAGTGGTCGTAGGAATTGGGTTAATGCCATGATGAAGGTACCCAACTATCTTATCTTCATTTTTGTATTTACTTTTGTGTTTTTTTCTTTCTTATTTATAGAATTAAACTCGATGAAATTTATAATTCACATACCTCATTCAACCAACTCATCAATTAAGTCTCTAAAATTCTTATTGTTTCTATGTTTTTTTACAAGTGTACATGAAAAACTATGTTGTTACACACATTTAGTTCTGGTTTGCCAACAATTTAATTTTTTAATTAACTTGAACATATTTTTTTAAAATTATTGCTACAATAAAATTTATTTTTAGTGGCGATTATGTAGTGGAAATGGTAAAACTTATCTTGAACTACAATGTTTTGCGGCAAATGAACATTAACTGGCCATAAGTTAATTTATGAAAGACAAAAGTTATTATACCAACAATAAAATGGGTTTTTACTGACATTTTCTTGTAATTACGGGTAATATTTTTAATTTTTACTACTTTTGCAATAAAATGGTTTTTACTGCTGACATTTTCTGTAAGTATGGGTAAAAATTTTAATTTTTACTACTTTTAGATATATTGATCAAAATTCTAACTGTCATTTTCATTGTTGTTAAAACGCATAATAATTAATTACCAAAACAAAAAATAATAACCACCGCCAAAAAATACTTTTAGTTGAAGATTGATTATTAAAACACCTGAGACTAAACTATAGGTTTTTTTTTATATTTATTTATCAAAAACTAAACTATAAAATTCGATAATGTATTGCTATACTAAATTCATAACAGTGGAAAAAAATTATACAGAAAATTAAGTTTAAACCGTTAGTTTTCAGCTGGTTCTAAAATTTATTAATATATATTAAACATTTTGCCTTGATGCATGTTCCATGTAGCATTTCAGGAACCGTATTTTTCTCTATCAATTTTTTATTTTCCGATGAAAACTCTTCTGCAAACTTGTGTTGGAATTTTAATCATGTAGCATTTCATGGGAGAATAATTAAGAAGGCAGTGGAATAATTTAAACTGAAAAAGTTAATTATCTTATTCGCAATAGAATATTTCATGTTAGTTCTATATTCCTTGGCATTTGCTTTTCTTAATTTATTCTTGTTCCGATGAATAAATTCCATTTTAACAACCATGCACTAACAAAACATGACAGAATGTTCTTTGAGATATAATTAGGTGAATATCCATATGCAAGTGCCTTCTAGGTAAACCTAGATATATAATGTGCATCACAAATCCACGTATTTTTTCAAAGAAATATATTTGTGCATATTTTTTTATTTATTTTATTTTAGAAATTACTTTATGTGCAATCTAAGATATATATGTGGCTAGTTATATTCAGTTTTCTAATTAATTTAAATTTTCATATATTAATCCGTACCATAGTGACATATCATTTGTATAACATATCTTCACAACCTCCGAAAAAACAAATCATCACTATTCTAATTTAGTGCGTGCTGAGTGGTGAATAACATGTGGTGTTTTATACAATCCTCCTTATTCCGTAATATATTATATTCCAAACAAAACAATGTCCCACGGTACCAACAAAAAGCATTCTTTTGAAACCTTAGATTTAGAATTGGTGAAAATTGATAAGGAACTAGTTAAACTCATAAAATAAATAGAATAGAACAATCGATTTTGACCATTATTTTTTAAAACCTTCTACTTTTAAAATTTTTAAGATAAACAAAAATAATTTTAAAAAACATATAAATGTAAATTATTTTATATTAATATTATTTATAAATATAAATTAACTACGATTTAATCATTTATATATTAGTTTCTTATAATTTAAATTTACTTTGTTGCTTGAAATATTATATAATACTAAAAATTATAAATTTAATTAGTATCGGTTCCTCTACAATTTTATTTACAATTGCATGATCCAATAAATCAGAAAATAATACAAGTTTAATTATTATCGGCGTATTTTTTAAAATAGAGAAAATTTAAGAATAAGTATATGCATATAAAAAGTCTTGTCATGATACGAAAACAAAATTTCATATCTTAAATCTTACTATATCTTATTTGCCAACTCATGTCATATGTATTTCCCCAACAAGAACATTCCGTGTGTCTTTCCATCATTCATAGCAGTAAATAGAATATGTCCTCTTAAGAATTAATTAATAAGAGTTATATTTTATTTTTTATTTTTTTATATATAATATCACTTATTATATTATATTTATTATTTCTTCCTACATTTTATTAACCATAAAAAAGCTTTATAAACAAAATTTCTCCATCAGCAAAGCATGGTTATTATTTTCCGGAACAATAACGCTAGCAACACATTTTTAGGATATTTTATTTATATTGAATAAAAATTATATAGCTTATTAAATAATAAATAATGCTATCTAGTTAAAAAAGACAATGAAAATTTATTTATTTAACAGGATCACATATATTTTGCCAAATAAAAAAAATGTTATTAAATAGTACGCTAATAACATTTCTCTCTCGTTTTCTTCTACAGGCAAATTTGCTTTCAATTCAATTCAGTACTATAAATCAACGAATTAGCGATCAAAATTATTAAAAAATGATTTTCCATTACTTAGGCTGATGTCACGAATCTTTGGTGACGATCTTTTTAAAATTATATATAAATTATTTTGTACTATATAATGTTAACTTCTACAGTAATGATTAATACTAATAATTTTGTGCTTCATGAAATTAACAACAATTGAACATTAAGGTAAGTTTAGTAGCTAGTAGGATAATATACATGAACAGTACGACATTGTAAACTAAAATAAATTAAGAATAAATGAAAAAAAAAAGAGAGGACATTTTAATGATCTCATATAGATAATCAGGGGTGGATGTATATATACATCTATGTGGGCAATTTTCTCCGCAAGAATTTTTCTTTTATTTAATTATGTATATAGTTTAGATATTTTGAATTATTTTTCATAAGATTGCGTATATTGCATTATTTTTTCCCTAAAAATTTAAAGGTTTTTTTTTTTACTTTACTAAAAATAATTAGATCTGCCACAGGAAATAATTAAGAGCATATTTGGAAAAACTGTTTTTTTCCCATAATTTACACAATTCTAAAAGAAAAAAGTTGTTTGCAAAAAAATGCTTGTTTAAGACAAAACCTTGAATTCGAAAATAACTGGGTTTTCTTTTCTTTTAGAAAAGTAAGTTATTTTCTTTAATTTAAAAATTTGATTCTGATGATTAATTTTCAATAGATTTTTCTCTCCCACAATAATGTGCTACATAAAAAATTAACTTTTTGTAATATCAAAATAAAATTAAACATTTCAAAATCGCTTTTCATCAAATTTACCTTAACAAAATATATTTCAATTATAATTGAATAACAATAATCAATCATACACATAATCTAATAATTTTCACAACTTTCTTAAACACAATCTAAGATACGTATGTTGACTGTGGCAGGACAATGACAAGAAAAACATTCTGGCTGTTCAATCACTAAGGAACACAATCATGGGTGCCACCCTAATGGCCACAACCTCAATCCTCCTATGCTCAGGCCTAGCAGCAGTGATAAGCAGCACCTACAGTGTGAAGAAGCCTCTGAATGATGCAGTGTATGGGGCACATGGTGAGTTCATGGTGGCACTCAAATATGTCACACTCCTCACCATTTTCCTCTTCTCATTTTTCTGCCACTCCCTCTCCATAAGGTTCATAAACCAAGTAAACATCCTCATCAACACCCCACAGGACCCCTTGTCCCTTGTCACCCCTCAGTACATCAATGAGATCCTGGAAAAGGGCTTCATCTTGAACACTGTGGGAAACAGGTTGTTCTATTCTGGCTTGCCTCTCTTGCTTTGGATCTTTGGTCCTGTTCTTGTGTTCCTGTGCTCCCTCACTATGGTCCCTGTGCTTTACAATCTTGATGTTGTGTTCACCAGTGGGAAAGGGGTTAAGGGGGATGCCAATCAAAACGGGGATTTTGTATGAAATTAAAAAAAATGGAACCCGTAACAATCGGTTATGAATTTGGATATGGTTTAGAAGGACCAATACGATATTTTCTATGAAAAATAAAGAATATTTTTTAGTGAAGTCGTTAAAAGTCAATGTCCTTCTATACCTATGTCTGAACATGTTTTATGGGTAAGTGAAAGTGAGAATATATTGAAGTAGGGTTTTTTCTCATTTTGATTATGAAAACATGTGCATGCATATGTATGCTCTACCCACTGTAATCCAGTAGTTTCCATAAGTTGCGTTGTGAATAAAAAGCATACGTGGTGCATAGTTTTGATTTGCTTGGTTGTTTGGATGAATAAAAATTGCAATATATGCTTCTAATGAAAAAAAAAAAGGTTATATCGGAAGGTACATCTTTATTGTGTTTTAGCTTTTAAGTGTATAAGACTATTATATTAGTTTGTGAAATTAAAAAATTAAAAAGCAATTGAAAACATATCTTGTCAATTATATTAGTTTAAAATTATGAAAATAATGTAACTTTTATTAATATTAACATATATTTATGATCCAAAATGACATAAAGTAATTATGTTTAAGGATGTAAATGAAATAATTAGAGATTTCAAAGACTAGCTTGAAAAATTTTCTTACTTCCAAGAATCAATCTGACAATGATGAAGGGTTTGTTTAATTAAATAAGTTTTTTTTTTTAAAAAGTAAAATAAAAAATTAAATAAATTTTTTCATAAGTTAAAATTAATTTATGCACAAGTTAACTTGTAAAATCTCTCTCTTATTTATTTTTTCAAAATATCATTTTTAATTTATACATAAGTTTATGAAAAATGTATTTTTGATTTTTCCTCTATTTTTTAAAAAATATTTTTAGGGAAATTTATTCTAAACATGCACTAAGACTTTTAGAGAAAAAATGTAACTTTTCCTTAAAAAAAGTATTCATAATCCAATTATTTAAACTAGGTTAGAGTGATAAGGTGCCACACTAATTTAATGTTAAAAAATGAGTATTTTTGAAAAAAGAAAAGGTTATGGAACTTGGAAGCAAAATACTAGAGACAGTATAATCTCGTGCTTTTATATATGTAGTAGTGGGTCATTTGTTAGTGGACGGATTTCTAAGATATGTAGTTTGAATTTAGATGATATTCATGTAATCATATCATCTCATACTTTAAACCTATATCAAAAAAATAATTAAAATTGATTTTAGTTTAACTTTTAAATTTAATGTGGTTACCAATGACTTGAGTACCCCTTTTTTCAGACTAATCTAAATTAATTTTAATATTGTTATTATAGAACACTTTTATCAAGGGTATTCTTTAATATTTTAAGTTGACAAATATTAAATTGACTAAACACAACTTTAAATATATAGTTATAAAAGATATATATTAGTGGAGTACACAAATTAAGCAACAACATGGCGTAGAATTTCTTGTCAAAACTCAAGCAAATTGACGTGTCATGGCTAAAGTAGAGATGATACAAATCTCCACATCCACAGGTTTGTAGGGATTATGAATTATTTACATCAGAACATATAGTATTAATATATTTAGTATTTGGTTAATCAATGAGGGACGTCTTACACTATTGTTATATTTTCAAGATATAAGAATCAATAATTCTTTTATCGTTCCAGGATATTTTTGTTTAATGAGCCTATGATAGTAAAATTTGGTTGAAAAAGATTAATATAATTCGTACAACTACCGGCTACCTATTTTTTGTTTATTATTATAAGTTAATGAGTTAAATTAAATTTTTATATATTTTTTATTTTTAATCTGAAATTTTAATTCACCTTTAGAATAAAGATATTAAATAATGTGTTATTTAATGATGTGATAAATAAAATAAAATAAAATAAAATATAAAATTATATATATTTTAACAAATAATTAATATTTATTTTATTAAAAATATTATTTGTATGATTTTTTTAAATATCATATTATTAAATATTGTATTAAAATTTATGTCAATTTAATGAGAGAATAAAATTTTATATTTTTAAACTAGAGGAATTAAAATTGTGAATAAGAAATGAATCCATTAATATATTATCATAAAATATAAATAAACTATATATATATATATATATAT